TGGAATTTCGTTGGAAGTCTCTTTCGCAAGGGTGGCAGGATGCCTTTGTGGAGCCTTTGAAGAAGGCGATCGACGTCTACATCGGCAACGGAGCCCTGGAGTCTGTACCGTTGGGGAAGCCCATTGATCCCCAAAAGATACTTCCGTCGAGGTTTGTTCTGACCAACAAGAGTGGCTTGGGATCCGCTGGGTGCTAGCTGGTCACTTGGACAAGGAGGCAGGACAGTGTGCGACGGAGGCTCCGACGGCCAGATTGGTGGCTCACAATGCAGTGTGCTTTATACATTTATAAGTGCTCAGATGGGCTGGCCTACGAAGTATGCCGACATTTCAGCGGCTTTCTTGCAAGGAGAAAAGCTTCAAGATGAACGAGTTACATCAAGCTTCCCAAAGGATACCCGGATGCCATTAGTGAGCACCTGTTGTCCCGTCTGGGGGCCAAGAAGGGGGGAAGCATCCGATCTGACCTCATCCGGCTCATGAAGGGTGTCTTTGGTTTGGCCGAGTCACCTCGACTGTGGTATCTCCGGCTGCTCAGAGGCTTGCTGGAGGTTGAAGCTCTCCCCAGGCACATTTGTCCTACATGTTAAGGGGGTTCTTCGAAGCATGCTTTCCATCCATGTAGATGCCCTAAGTTCCAGTACGTTCTCGACCGGCTCCGGGACACGTTCAAATTTGGCGAATGGCAATGCGCCACGGAGCAGGCGGTGAAGTTCTGTGGAAGGTGGGAAAGACAGTGCCGGGAGACTTTCAAGATTGTGGTGACAATGGATGGCTACACCCACAAGTTGAAGGAAGCTGCTGTACGAGATGGAAGGGATCGTTCTCCGCTCACAGATGTGGAAAAGAAGTGGGTGGCTTCGGTGGGAGGCCAGCTGAACTGGATGGCTAGACAAGGCCGTGCTGATCTTGCGTATGGGATCAGTCGCGTTCAGCAGATGGCCGGGGCCCGTGATCCAGAGACCATTAAGCTCTTCAACCAGCAGGGAGCCCTACGAGATGGTCTTTCAGAAGCTTCCAGGAGGAATGGAGAACCTCGCCTTTCTGGCAGTGAGTGATGCTTCGCATGGCGGCATGCCGAAGGGACGTTCACAGGGTGGAATGATGGTCCTCGTCGCCAACCAGGAGATCCTTGAAGGGCCCTCCGAGGTGACGTGCTTGCTTTACCGCAGTGCTGTCTTGAAGAGAGTTGTCCGCTCTTCATTGGCGGCAGAAATATCGCAGGCGGCAGAGACCCTGGACCAATGCGAATATGTTCGCGCGATGATTGCCGAGATCTGGGACGCAAACTTCACTCTACAGCAATGGCGATGGAGTGCCAGCCAATGGCCTGAGGTCTTGGTCTTGGATTCAAAGACCGGATACGACATCCTGAACAACATTAACAATGGAGAAGACAAAAGGCTGGCCATCGATATCGCCATCCTTAAGGAGGCGCTTTATGAGCCCGAAAGTAATCGTTGGATCAGATGGGTGCCGGGATTGACTATGCCCGCGGATGGCCTCACGAACGTGTACGGGAACCTGGTTCGCGACCAGGTGATGAAGGGTGGCCCCTCGTCCCTCAAAGACTCTCCTGAGGCACAGAAGCTTCGTGAAGAGGCCGGCCCCCGAAAGTGCCAGTGCAAGGAACGTTTGCCAAAAGGCGAGCAAGCTTTTGAGCTCAATCGCCAAAATGGCAACAGAGCTGCTATAATGATGATCAGCGTCTCCAACGGGGTAGGTGTCGAAAAGCACTAAATCTCCAGCCGCTGATCAGGCTTTCGCTGCCCGGAGGATGGGCTCGCAGTCGTGGGATGGCTGCGGTCAACGGCCAATCTGAGAGCAACGGCACTGGACAGAGATCACTGCACCTCCCAGCAGAGCGGTGGCCGCCAGGAGCTAACCTGACAGCCTGCGCACTTGGTAGCGCAGACGCCTGGAGTAAGCCATCAAGAGATCCCCCAAGTAAGCTAACCGTGGATTGGGCCGGTCTCTTCGGCGGCTGTTCTGAGCTGCACTGTCTCCTCTCCAGAGCTGTTCGAAGTCGCAACGTAAAGACGTGTCGGACCATCCTGCGTTTGTTCCGATATTGTCGGGCGACCGAACTGCGACAACCGTGCAAACTACTAAAGACAGAACCGGAAAACACGCCCCTTTTCCATTCCTGAAAGAAGGCGGCAGAGAAAGCCAAAGCGATCGCCCAATGGTCCAGTTCTCAGACAAGAAAGACCAACCGACCAGAAAATCCCAAACCCCCGACCCGGCCGAGACGGATGTGCAGACGCATGTTTTGTTTGCGAACTTTTGCATCGGTGCCATCGGTGCCGTCAACCACCTGAACGGGCATGCAGCAGGATACTCTTCCGCCAGCTGCGGGCCAGGCCTGCAGCCTTGCTCAGCAGTCCGCTGTAGAGCATGTGTGCTCGTGTGTTCAGGGGTTCCTGTCGCGGATCGGCCCCCAGCTGGCCTTGCTTGTGACTGGAAAGGTGCTTTTGCAAGTTTCGAGAACCGACATGCTGCAACCTACGAGCCAATCCCTGGCGATGCTGTGGATCTGCCCGTGACTGCAGGGACGTGTGCGCCTGGCAAGCTCATACCTCCCGCTCTTTGGCAAGAAGTGCAGGACCCCGACAACATTTTCCCCGAAGCAGCAGGCGTTGTCGACTTGGCCAGCTTCCCGCCAGACATGCAGGACATGCAAGCTCCGCCTGAGCAGGCGCGTGAAAGCAGCCGCTCGCGTCTTTGCCGATTCCAAGACGACGAAGGGACGAAGGGCCGACAGCGAAAGATTTGGGATGGTGGCTTTCTTTCGGAAGTAGCGATATGGCCACCAAAACCAGCTCGGCTTGCTAACCCGGCGTCCTTTTTGGACATAGTTGTGCAGCCTGGTGAGACATTGTACATGTCGAAGCGTGATGCAACACTTACTTTGACGTTTTGGCTTCGCCAGTGTTCGTGCACGAGCTGTTGTCTGAGGGCTGCTTAGGCGAGAAGGAGCTGCAGGACGTCCTGGACGATGCAAGTGCATCAGAGATTCTTCCGGTTATCCTGTCAACACTGTATGGCCTGTGGGATTCAACTGGTCATCATGTGTTGCTCAAGCTTGTACCATGGGGTGTGCTCTTCAAGCCGGCGTGCAAGAGGATTGCATTCTCAGTTTGGACGATCCTCTGCCGGAGTGCCAACGCGAACTCTGCATGATCGCCATTGACGACACCTTGCTCTTCCACCGCGATGCCAAGCATGGGCGCTCCACGCTGCAGAAGCTGGATGAGAGTTTCCAGGCAAACGGCGTCCCGCGCAACCAAGCCATGGATGTCACTCTTCAGACTTGCATGACTGGCTTGGGCTGTGACAAGGCAAGCCAGCCACCAATGGTGCAGCCAGAAAGTTCAAGGCTGTGTCGACCAGTGCTTGGCTTGTGTGACCTCTTGCAGCAGCCGCAGTGCAGCCCTAATGGTCTTAGCCGCTTTCTTGGGCTCCTCCAGTGGTTCTTTCAGCTGCAAAGGAGAATGTTTAGCATTCTGGACCGCAGCTATGCTTTCGCAAGGTTGGATGCTCCCAACGAGAAACGAACCCTGCCGCCCGGGTGCAACATGAGCTGCTCACGTCCCTTGGTCTGCTTCCTTTGCTCGCAAACTCGCTTGACAGACCTTTCTTACCACAGCAACTGGCTTGCGACGCTTGCCCAGAGTATGGATTTGGAGTGTGTGGTCTTCAATGCGGTGCCAAACGCGTAGAGCAGATTGGGAGGCTAGCCGAACGCGGAGGGACTGCATTCGGTTGGTTCCCGGACCAGATGACAAAACCCGAGGTGCAGCGAATTGGGCAGCCTTACAGACTTCCGTACCTGCAAAGCGAGTTCAGCACAGGAATTTCTTGCAAGGCGAGGCACCACGGCCACGCCAGCCTGCTTGACCGTCAAGCACCGCTCAAAGGCATGATTATCGTGTGGTCATTCTGGTTGATGCCACGGCTGCCATTGGAAGCAGCAAGGGCAGAAGCAGTGCATATTGCGCAGGGCCATGCGTTTGCTGCCGATTTGCTGCTACGTCTGGTTTTCATACCATCTGCCATCAGAGTCGAACCCTGCCGATCTTCTGTCTCGTGGGGTCCGACGAAAACGACCTCACCCTGCCACAGCAGCCAAGCAGAGAGCCAGCGGCAGCGTAAAGCGCAAGCACCATGCTTGAAAACAGCGTTTGAGTGAACAGGACACTGCTGGCACCTACACACTCGGCCACTGACGCTCTTCTTCACTGGACCGGGCACTTTAGCGCCCAGCCAAAATAAAATGGCGGCTAGGCTTCGACGAGCAGATGGCAATGCTCGGTGCTGTTTTGTGTTGAGTGGGACAACGCGATCTGTGCCAGTCGCAAGAACTGAGCATTTCCTTTTTCCTGATAACGCGGCATGCATGCTTCTTTTCCACGAACTTTTTTCGGCCACATGTGGGAACTTGTGTCCAGGGCGGGGAGTTTGGCAAGTCTTGTTCGGGCTTTCGGCCCTGTCCAAGTCCGTTTTTGATCCGAGTTCTCTAAACAGCAGTGGCCAAGTGCAACAAAAGTTGGAGTCCGTCAGCAATGCCTGAAAGCGGCCTGGCAGCAATGGGGAATCAAGCTTTGCAACAAAGTACCCCGGAATTCCCATGCTTTATGAATGATGTAAGCTAGCTTGTCTTGCTTCGCCCGCCCCCAAGCAGGAGACGAGGGAGTGGGGGGCAGAAAAACCGCCGGGGACGGCAAGCCGAGACTTGCAGCAGAATCTTTGGACGTCGGGCCCGAAATCCAATTTTGCACGGGGGGGAGAAGGGGGGTTGGCGGGCTTCGATCAGTGTGGGGGTCGCTGGGGAGAGGAGGTGGGGAAACATGGAATCCCCGTGCGAACCTCTGACCGCTTCGGCCGGGGCCGAAGCGAATTTGCATCGAGTGTTGGCGGCGACACGCAGCTTGGCAAGGGCTTTTGATGGCTTCGAGTATTTGTGCCGTAACGTGCCAGCCACACGCGTAAATTAGCGCATGGTGTCGAGACTTTCTTGTGGACGGGCAAGGGGTTGTGAGTTTGGCTAAAGCGAACAACATAGTAGGGGCTTGTGTGAACACGTTCCGGGAAGGGACGCAAGTGACCCAGCAGCCAAAGCAATTCCTGATGTTCGATCGCAGCCGCGTTCAGGGCCAGCTCGGGCCGGCGAGAGGTGGTGCGGAGGCTCGGGCTCTTGAGCGCCTGCTTCTCAGTCGGAGAGTCGAAGGGAGAGCCCAAGGGATTCGTCGACAGTCCGCCGGCCGAGGCCTTGTCCGGCTGTGAGCCGGGGCCTGCGAGAGCTTTTGCTCGCAATGGCGAGGAGAAGGCCGCTGCACAGGCGCCCCCGCCCTCGCGGTGTCTGCGGCCAAAGCACTTTCGAATTCTGGGCGTGGAGGTCTTTCGTCAAGCTACACCTGGCGTCGTCGCCGTGGCCCGGGGCTACCGGCAGGGAGAGAGACGCCGGAGCGGCGGGGCCGAAGATGGATTGCCGCCTTCTCTCGGCAGTGGTTTTGTGCCTTGCCTGCGACTTTTCAGAAGCGGAATAATGCAACGCCTTGGTACGACACTTTCAGGTGTGGGATACTTCGCATGTTGTGACGCTGCCTGGCTGTGACCGCTATGCAAGATGCGGCATGGGAATCTCACGACGTCAAAATGATGTTCAGATGGATCCGAGGAACTATCATGTTGTGCGCGATCTGGCGCCTGGTGAACTGCAGATCGTTTTCATTGACCCTGTGAGCAAGGATGAAACCGAGATGCCAAAGCGGGAGATCTTGAAGGGCGAGCTCGTTGGTTCCGACCCCTTCACGGACACTGCCGTCATCAAGATCGTTCCTCCCACGGCGGGAACGATGACGGTCGGTATGCATCCGCTCCCCATAGGGGAATCTTCGTCACTCGAAGTGGGCCAGACAGTCTTTGCAATTGGGAACCCTTTTGGCCTGGATCATAGCATGATTCTCGCCAGAACTGGAATCGTCTTGTGGGTGTGAGTGTCATGTTCGGTATGGCCGAGGAGCCGCGGCATCATCTCTGGGAAGTCCAGGACTCTCGACATCGGGGAGAGGCCGGCTGCCGGGTTAAGGGTTTAGGGTGTAGGGTCGCATCAGGCCATCCCGACCACCAAGACAACTCCCTTCGTAACGCTTTCGGGAGATATCAGAAATGGAAGCAAAGAGTTGAACTCACTTCGCTTGAAGCGCTGCGCAGCAGTCTGAGGCCGATCCAGGGTTGCATTCAGACAGATGCCTCCATCAATCCAGCACGGGCCCAAAGCAGAAACATACTGAGCTTTTGGGAAGTCGATGCACATCTGATCTCCATTGAGCTGTGATTTGCCGGGCGATGAGCTCCGAGATGCTGTGCGATTCTGAGGGCAACTCCGGTGGTCCGTTGTTGGACGCCGGCGGCCGTGTCATCGGCGTGAACACCGCCATTTTGACAGCTAGCGGCACCTCCGCCGGAGTTGGCCTGGCGATCCCAGCAGCTTGGTCATCGACTGTGAAAGTGAGAACGTCTCTAAGTGCTGCCACTACGGTGCATGCCACTACGGTGCATAACGGTGCTACGGTGCGCTTCTGGCCTTCACTCCGTCCTTTCCTAGGTGGACACAGTGAAGCGCAACGTGGAGCTGATCCTGAAGCAGGGATTCGTCTCCCGTGGCTTCCTTGGAATCACCTTCGCCCCGGACCCGATCGCGGATGCATTGCAAATTCCTGGTGTTATTGTGTATGGGATTGTGCGAAATAGCCCCGCGGAAGCGGCAGGAGCGACAGCAACGCTCGCCGTCCACTTCCGTGCATGCCCCACCATGCCCCACCCGAAACCTCCTGCAGTCCTGGAGGAGTTCGTCCGATGCTGAACGGAACCATTGGCGACGTGATTACATCTATGGACGCGAAGACCATTCGCACTGGTGCTGATGTCTTCCGGCTGTTGGACAAGAGGGCCTTGGCCTTTGCGTGACCGGGCCGGAGATGCCGTCTCGACCGCTTTTCAGTCAGGTCCCCGGCGACATCGTGGCTTTGGGCCTGCAGAGGTTCGAGAGAGTTCGAGAGCCATAGCCGATCCAACTCTGACAGGGTTCCTTGCGCAGGGCCCGGAGGGATGTAGATGGGAATGCGATTGTGGACAAGTTGACGCTGAATGTTACGCTGAGCCCTTCGATTGAAGAGCTATTGCTTTCCTATTTCCACAACGCCCTCACGACTGGACCAAGGTTCAACTCCGCGGAAGCTGTGAGACCTGAATGCCGCAGAACGAGCTGTGGAAGTTCGGGTGGTTGCTTAGGATCTAGGACTACTACTCGGTCGCCGCGCTTGTGGCGAAACGGCTGGTGCAGTGAGCCACCATGTGCCGTCAAGATCCCTGATGCAACCGAGATAACCAACGAAACAAACCATGCTGCACTCGTTTGCTCAAGCGTTCGTGTCCCCAGCATCCCAGCAATGGCGTTTTTGAAGCAGCCTGAGTTCAGGCCACGACGAGAGGGCCCCTCACATCCCTCACGCCCTCTCCGATTCGCGAGCTATATCTCAGGTAGAGCAGGGCAGCTGCCAGCAGCACCACCAGCACGGCATGTTCAAGAAAGGGTCAAATCCTGAGGAGCAGAGTCGCGGGAGTGTGATGTCATCCCATACTCGTAGTGGCAGAGGTATGTGGCACAAGGGCAGAATCTTCTATCCAAGAAGGAGCCGGCAGCAATCTCGCATTCTTGCAGTTGCGGACCACCGCGCACCGCTGCCGAGTCGAGGATCTGAAAGCTCTCAAAGGCACGGAGAAAAGAGCTGCTTTTCCAACTCGAGGCCTAGGAAAGGCCTGCGCCTTTGGTCAGGGCAGCTCACCGAGCTCTTCCCCAGCCTCGATGAGAAAATGCTGGATGAGATCTTGCCGGAGGGTCAAGCCAAGGCCATGCCACGACTCAAGAAGCTTCTTCCTTTTTGCGCAAGTATCTGCCACTGCCAATGGGCCAAGGTTGTGAAGCTGGACAACCGGTGCTTGCTTTATTCCTGCGGTGACGCAGCTCCGGCCTTCTTTGATTCAGAGGGTCGAGGGGAGCCTGGCCCTAAGAAACACATTGTTTTATGAGAATTCGTCCGATCGCCTCTGCTCGCGCGGGCCTTGGCTCTCAGGTTCTACCCGACGCTGCACACGCTCTGGCAATTCCCGTGCTCTCAGCTTGAATCTTTCTCTGTTTTTTGTCTTCGACTTTGACGGCAGGCACATCATGCAGGAGCTGACTATTCATCCGCCTGTGCAGAGCTCTAAGATTCTAAGTATCCAAGTGCCACTCGCGTTCTGCGCGAGTTTGGATGTCGTGCACGACCGCAGTCTGCACGTCCAGGTCGAAATTCGTGTTGAACGGTGCCGACCTGATGCTGCCCGGCGTTCTGGTACCCAGCTGAGTCTGGAATTCCACTTCGGGACTATGCGATGCAGCGAGGCAGTGAAAGCCAAGATGGCTTTGTGCAGCCCTCTGTGCCCGGCCCGTCTCAGGTGCCTGCAAACGGCGTCGCCGGTTTCGGAACTGTGACGAAGGGCCAGAAAGAGCCTCAGCTTGGCGCGTATGTGCCTTTGCGCGCGCGTGCGGGTGTGTGTGTGTGTGTGCGCGCGCGGCTTGCAGACAAAGCATTCTGTGTGACTCTTGGCTTCTCCCAGGCCACGGTGCATCAAGATTGATGGCAACCCGTATCCTATCGCGGTTGGGCGAATGGTGGTGAACCAAACACAGATGGAGAAGCCGGGATCCTCAGACAGTGGCTTGGGAGCAGCCAGGGTCGAGGTTTGGGTCCGTCTGTGAGGTTGAAAGGCAAAGGCATGGAGGCCTCTGCTCCCCGCAGATCGGTTCCTCACGGCGCCCTGAGCTTCAGCGGGCAGGTGATGCACGTGTACAGAGACGCTTTGTGGGCGCAGTGTGGCAAGGCATGGAGCATGCATGTGTGATCTTGCAGTAGTCCAGACAGCCAGGTGAAACCCAATGCCGGTTTCTCAGACGAGGAGGAGGCGGCTGGGTGTTCATAGTTCTGCCCGTAGGACTGTAGGTCCAAAGAGCCTATCTCTATATGGCAGGTAGCTCCGTGTGCAGACAGCAATTGGAAGCCTGGCGCGGCGCAGGGATCTCAGCTCTCTGCTGTAACGCCGATGCGCATTCTACACAAGACTTTGCTTGCCCAAAGACTGCCATTCACCGGCAGAGGGCAAACGAATTGAAAAAAGGGCACGCATCTTGCGGTAGAACGGATGCTGCTGCTGCGGTGCACAGGCTTCCACCCTGAAGCCAGATAAGTTCAGGCAAGCTAAACACAGCAAAGCCGTGATGTAAGGACAGATGTTTCAAGCAATTGCACAGCATTCCACCCGAATCTCTTCCAAACACCGGTTTTACAAGAAGGCATGCCAAATTGTTCGCAATCACGAGAACACTCGTCCAATCATGGAAGTCGCAAAAGTGCAAGCAATCTACTGTTTTCATCGAAGCACGAGGCTGGCAGGCCGTTGTTTCTGCTTACGCAACCTCTCGCGGCCCAATGTCCCCATGCCAGATGGATGTTTTCAGGCCTTTTCAGGGTTCTTGCTTCAACATTTCGTGCTTCCAAGGCTTCAACATAAGGGCTTCCAAGAGGGGGTGGGGGTGTCTGGGGGCTTGCTGATACACATTATTGACTTCGCAGTGATGACGTGGAATTCTCTTTGCCTCTTTGCTGTAGACAGCGGGGATGGAGCGAGATTCTCTTCTTCGTAAAGTGAAAACTGGATGCGGCTTCATACCGAACAAGTAGTCAGGCAGGTAACAGGTTCATGGATGAAAGGAACATATAGGCGCACCTAAAGCTCACACTTAAAACATGCATACAGTTGCAGATGCAAATCTCAAGAATGAAGCTCCCGACTCCACAGCCACAATGCATACTTTGCGCTTGGGTTCAGAAAGTATGTACAGTACGAGTATAAACGCAGCAGGCTGTGAGTACACATGGCAACTTGACGTCGACACCTCGAATGAGCAATGATACCAACTACTGTTTGTATGTTTTCTGTGTGTGTATATATGTATGTATGTATGTATGTATGTATGTATGCATGCATGCATGCATGCATGCATGCATGCATGCATGCATGCATGTATGCATGTGTGCGTGTAGCTACGCGTTCGTGCATGTGTGTGCGTGTGTGTGGGTGTGCTTAGGGATGTATGTATGCATGCATGTGTTCATGCCTGAGGTAGGTGCAGAGGTCGGTAAGGTAGATAGCAGGCAGGCAGGCACGCTGGCAGACAGTGTGGCAGGTGGGTATGGTGGATAGGGCAAGGTGGCAAGGTTGGTTGCTGGGATAGGTAGGGTAGATAGGGTAGGAGGGCCAGGATAGGCTATGTAGGGCAAGGGGCAGGCTATGAGTTCAAGGCCGAAGTTGCAAGCATACAAATGCCTGCTTGAAGCACATTTTTCCCACGAGCTCTTTATGAGCAGCATACTCTCGCGTCAGCATAGTCCGGTAAGTTTTTGCGTGAAATGCAATGCAAGGCAGTCTCGCCGGCGAGTTGCGCGCTTCCACCGGATAGCAGCAATTCAACCAAACCGTCCTCAGGGGTCCCTGGCCCAGTCCAACCGCATTCAAGACAGGCTTGAGATCACATCGCGCTTCAACAACAATAGCAGTTTTTTCAACTGTTCTCTCGACAGCCTCGCGCTCGCAGCCTCTGGGAATCATACTCCGAAGTTCCGGGCACAGCATCAGCCATCTCATGTCAGGAGGTATACAGTTTTTGTCCGCTCCAATTTCATAATCAGGAACACCGTTTTTTTGTGCAGTGCCAGCTGCAGTGTTGACTGCATGACCAGGTCAATCTGAGACCCTGTCCTGTGTCAGTGTCCTGCAGCAAGGGTTTGAAGAGTCTGCACTGCGACCTGGGGTTGACGTCCAACGAATTTGCGCAGGGTGCGATGTTGCAACTCAAACAACTAACTGGACTCCGAGGAGCGCAGAGGCCAATAGCACGGCGGAGCCTACGTCGGAGGCCCCAGCCGCAGCGTCCGCAGCGACGGCAGCACCAGGAGGTGTGGAGAGTTGGGTGAGGGTGGAGTCCAAAAGACCTTCTCGTTGTGCAGGCGGCAAAGCTGCAGGACTCCCAGAAACGGGCGGAACGGGACGTGCCAGAAGCAGTAAACTTCCGAGGCCGATGACTGGACGCACAGCTCTCATCTATGTCGTGTGTTGGTGTCCTGCTTGATTTCAGTTTCTCATATTCTGGAGCACTGAGGCAGGATGACCTCTTGGACTTCACCTTTCTGCAAGCCTTCAAACAAGGGCTTGCAGATGACAAGGTTGGCTTTGTGCACTGGGCCGTGCTGTAAGCTGACGCGACTGCAAATCCAGGCCCTGCCCATAGAAGCTTCTGAGCTCTACGAGAAGCACATGAAGCCAGCGAGGCCTGTAGCTCTTCGTGCTCCGTTCACCACGCCTCTGTGTTTGTTCTCGCTGGCAGGCCTGAGGGAACCACCTTGGACGTTAAAAAGTCGCCGGGGCCTCAAGGTCTGAGTCTACTTGCAGCACTTGTAGCTAAAGGGAGTATGACAAGCTTGCCAAGGTCTCACAAGCAGATCGGCAAGTTCTTGAATGCCATGCGTAAATCCAAAGCTATCGACGTCACCGAGAAGAAGGGTGTCATCCATGTATCCAAAGTTGTGGGAAGCCTAGTCTAGCAGCCTGTTCCCATCGCTGCATAACAACAGATCATGCGCGTCTCCTGGCACAGGACCGCAAGCACAAGGTGTTTGTCAGTCTCGAAGAAAAATTCGTGGGAGCTCTCAGCTTGGCAGCGCAGTCAACTTCTCCCGCCTTTGTATTCTTTGCATGTCGTAGTCCCAGGCAGAACAGGTGGCTGCTGCCCCCGTGGCCGCGGTGGCTGCGGCTGTGACTCCGGCAGGCCACTAACCTCGGACTCCTATCCCGGATCCATATGCGACAAATACCGACGAGTTGCAGGTTTGCCGCCGCCCAAAGTGACGGCGATGTGAGAGCCCTATGCTGCTCTGCCCAGCCTTAGTTTTAAGCCTGTTCGGCACAGGTGGAAGCCCTCGCATTACCTAGAGCCGATCTGGAAGGTTTCGTGCATGGTCTTGCCGAATACAGCCAGATTATGCATTCGCAGGCCATGGGCAAGAAAAAAGACGAGCTGTACACTTGGGATGAGGCGAATCAAAAATTAGACTGTGGAAGCACAGCTTCGTTGCCAAGATTTCCAGGCAAGAGCCATAGTGTTCAGCTACATCGAGCAGGACCTGCCAGCATCAGCATGTCGGGTTGCCGCCTTGTAGCGAAATTGGTACGCGACAGGAGGGTCTTGGCAAGCCCGATGGGTTGAAAACTCAGCCGGAAAGAGAGACGATGCCCGTGAAGATGGATCTGCCTTCAGAGAGTGCACAGAGGCCGATCAAGATGAGCGATGGCCTCCTGACGGCGCTCTGGAAGACGGCCTGAGACCTTGGGAGATGCTCGGAGACTCGCGATTTGGGGTCTCTCTCTGTGGAGGCCGGCGGGCAGAAGAAGGACCAAGAATGGCCCACAGAGGATCGCTGCTTTATGGGAGTGATTGCCTCCCTGTCAAAGCCGCTGCTTCTCCAAGACAGGTCGATGCGGAGCAGGTCGAGGAGAAGCTCGAAGACCGGCTGCAGCAGCTCGGAGCTCGGCACAAGCGACGGCGCACGCGAAGCCATGCGAAGCCGCCCAGAAACCATCGAGGAACAAGAGGATTGACGCCTACCGAGGCATGCTGCCATCGACGTGGCTGGTGTCGGCGTGACGACCCGAAAGGGTGCGCCCGTGAACATCGCCATCTCTCTGCAGGAGCCTGAAAGGACCGCGCAGAAGAATGCCTTATTCGGTGCTTCGATGAAGCCAAGGTCCCGGAAAGGGGCCCACAATGTCACGAGGATCTGCAATCTCGAAGCTTACGGCCTTGCTCCAGAGCCCGGAACTTCAACCAGAGGATGCTGGAGAGCACTGCGCAAAGCACTTCTTCCGAGGGCCTTGGGGGACGAGCTGAAGAAGAAGCTGAATTGTACAGTTTACATCGAAGACATGCCTGGCAAGAACGCCGTTACCTCAGCCTACCCTGCGGCCGGGAGCACGGTCAGTTCCAGAGCTCAGATCGCAGGTGAAAGAGAAGATGCTGCAACTGCAGGGTCACGTTCCCTCGCTGCAGAGTTCAGCGTGCCGAGAAAAAGGCAGCCTTGTGAGCGCTCAGGTCGACCAGGAATTCGCGCAGTTTTTGGAACAGAGGCTGGAGATGCTGTCATTTTCTCGTCCTGATGTCAGGAATCGGTGACATCCAGTGGAGCTTAGAAACCGCGCAGGTATGGGATTACAAAGAAGTTCTTAGAGGTGAAGTGAGCGCGCCTTTTGTCAGCTTTGCCGTTTGTGCAGACAGTGAGCAAAAGTGTCAGTGCCTGCTTGGTCTGTCTTCGGATGCCCGTTGATTTGAACTGCAAGATGCTGCAGTTGAAACATCAGTTGTCTCCAAATCTTGGCCTAAGCGTATTGTGCTCTCGCACAGCTCCGCTTTGAATTGTCTGCCCTGGCCGAGCTTTATGCTCAAGCGTAAGGGTGTGTGTGTGTGTGTGACATGTGGCAGTTTCTTTGTGGCACGTTGCTTGGAACGTGCCCCCACACGGTGCATTGGCTACCGTTGCGGCTTTACGAACAGAAACATGGTGGTTCGAGAATCTCACGAACTTTTCGCTCTGTGGAAAAAGCGGCTCGCTGTGCTTGCTTTCCTCTTGGAAGGTATCTCGGAACCTACTACAACTTCCGACCCTACATGGAGGCTGGGCCAAAGTCCAATACCACTGTCTGGCACAGGCCCTCGTGTTTCGAAGAATGCTGCGTGTGGACAGCAGGTCCTGCGGCAGTTCTATGAAAGACGCCTCGCAGAGTATGTGCACAGCTCATCGTTCACACGTCGACGTGTTGCACTGCCCCCGGCTTTGGATTCAATCAGAGGCCGAGACCAGACCAATCTCCAAACAGTGATGCGTGGAATCCTCACTGAGCTTGGCAAATGTGTCCAAGTACAGTACAGGCGTTAATGCATGCGCCGGACAGTACGATCAAGTAACCTGTCTCTGGCCTTGTACATACAGTCCCGTCGTCATACACCGCCGCCCGGTGCGCACTGCAAAAACTTGACAAGCTGAGATGCCTTCCTGGGATGTGGCATGTGTAGGTCGCAATTCTGCAGCCCTCTGTGGCTAGAGGCTCCAGATGTACAGGCAAGTTGGCGGGCAGGAGGCGGCCTTCGGCCTCTCTTGATGAAGGCCGTCTACATAGTCTACTTAGTAGACGCACGAATCGGAGAGCAGCATCTCGGCATCTCGGCAGGTATGATGGATGGTACTACGTTCACAATCCTTTTCTTTGTGATCGTGTTTGTGGGTGCGGTTGCAGGATACGTGTCCTTTTCTCAGAGCGGCATGACGTGGAAAGCCAGGTGTGGTGAGTTCAACAACGGCTTGCGAACTCTGTCAGGTATTATGTGAACATGAAGATGGCAGAGGTCTGCAGTTGCGTGCGGTTGCTGCACAGCAAAGAGCAAGGAATAGCCGAATGCCACGCGATGACCTTTGCATGCAGGCAGGAATGGGCCAAAAAAGCGCCGGCAAGAAGAAGATCCGCAAGAAGGAGCTTCCAGTCGCAGTGTGCTTGATTTTGACCTCTTCATTTGGAGGACAAAGCTTCCTGGTCGCTGGGCGATTAGCTGCCTAGCTCAGGCTCTGTGCCCGGCGTGACTTTCGGCCTCAGGCCGACAAAGACCAAAGACCAAAGTTCTGCAAGAGATGCAAAAAACGGGTGGCTCGCAACTGCTAAAGCCATGGGGTCCACATCTCCAGGCCTGCCAGGTTGCATGGCTCCAGGTGTCAGGGGCAGGGTTGCTGCGTAGCCGGCGTGGCCATGGCCTGTCTGCCGGACTTCTGCGAGGCCGGCGGGGGATTTGGGAGAAACGAGCATCTGTCCTGGTCCGGAGGCCCTTCAGACACGTGCGGCCGAGTTGCGGCGGAAAGTACGTGACGAGCAAAAGAAACAGGCCCCGGATTTCTCCAGTGATTGCTGCCAGTCCCATCTACGGATGGGCAGGAGGTGGCCCACCGCAAAGTCTCCTTGGTGGAGGACGAGGTCGGTTTGTGCAGGGACTGTGGGAACTTAGCTTCTCCTTGGCCGAGGTGGCCCGACTTCGAGCAGAGGCAGAAACTTCAACGGAGCCCAGCGGAGCGCAGCGAGCTGAAAGCATCTGGCCAGTGGGAGGCTTTGGAGCTGCAGCTAGCTGCCGACAAGCAGCGACAGGCCCGATCCGATTCCTGGGCATCCGTTGTGATGGCATGGCCTCAGGAGCGGAAGGCTCAGCGCGAGGCCCTGGGCTTTGCCTTGATGACCACTCGGCAACATCTTGCTCGCAGGCCAAAGTGGATGTGGCATCCTTGAAGAAGGAGGTTGGGGCTGGGGCTCAATGCATGCACATCTCGTTGTGCTCGTCTTCCTCTTTTCGTTGTGGTCGTTTTTATGGTGGATGTGGTTCTTGCCTGGTGTTATGATGGTAACATGCGCAGAATCCTCGAGATGTGTCCTTGTCATATTTTCCGTTGATGAACTATAAGCTATAGGGCAGACAGGTAAACTCAGGTGACAATCAACAGATGGATGCTGATGATGCGTCGCAGGGTTCTGATGACCAGAAGCTGGAGACGCGAGTGACCCCGAAAGCCAGGTGGATGCAGATGACTGCAGTGTCGTGTGTGTGGTGCCACGACATCACCATCTCCTCGTAGTTTCGCTGTTGCAGGTAAACCGCCGGCACAATCAGGTGCTTATCCTGACTGAGGAATTGGCGACTGGGCAAAGGAGTTGTGTTCTCCTTGCTCTCTGCCCCGAGCGTGTGTTCTGTGCACCGTGGGGCGTGTCTCAAGCTTTCGACTTGTTAGCTTGGCACTGCTCAACAGCCCAGGCGCGTATGCAGGCTGACGTTCGCAGTCTTGTAAGCGAAGCGGTGCGACAGGCTGAGAAGGCTGGTTTGGCACACCGTGCGCAATTTGTTTTCGGTATGTAGCAGCCAGGCCGCTTTGGCAAGAGAAGCAGAGGTCGAACAGCAGTGGAGTGGTCCTGAGCCTTTGCCGGAGTTGCGCGCGCATGGATTTCGACATGCTGCTGCCGGCGAGGTCCACGCGCGAGGAAGTAGAGCAAGACAAATTCAGGCGCGATCGCGTTTGCACAGCACCACGGTTGGCAATTTACCAATTTACCTTTTTCCTCGAAGGAAGGCTGAGCAAACAACGCTGAGCCTGGAGCAGGACATTGCCGACATTTCGCTGGGCTGCAGCTGGTCAAGATTTTGAGAGCAGGATTCCGCATGTCTTGAGCACGAGATGCGCGCACTGCCGCGTCGAGCCGCCGCGGTGCAGCTCTTTGCCGTGATGGCCTGGCTCGCTTCTCTCAAATAACTTCGAAGCCTGTGTCAAGTGGCGGGCAGCTTCAATGAACTTCTGTCGAGCACCATTCGGCTGGCCAGGTTAGATCAACTTCGGCACGTCCGACAGGCTGTTCTCCTTGGTATCTAGTCCTTGCCTGGGTGGTCCGGCATGGCCAGGGCATCCACATGTCCAGGTCGCCGAGCGCATGCAGACTTTCCGGCGTGAAGAGGCGTGCCTACTGGAGCTTCGAAGCAGGCAGGGGTGGCAAAGGGGCGGCGAAAGGGCAAAAGGGCACAGCGGCGAGTGCCTTTGCAGGAGACTCTGCGAGAAAGACGAGAAACTCACACAGCTGGACGAGGAGGCAGCCGAGCAGCGCTGCAAGGCTGCTGAGCACCGGGCTGCCTTCGAGGCGCAGAGAGAGAGAGAGAGAGAGAGGGTATCTAAAATATCAATTCCAATCGAAAATATCTAAAATCAGAGCTCAAACATGTTCTTCAAACAAAAACCCCCGAAAGCCCCATAACAGGTGGGGGGCCTATTGGCCGGGGGGCTTCACTCGCCCCTTATGCCCTGGGAAAGAAAGAAAGACGAGGTCTCAGGGTTGCACCACCCTGGGTCTCCCACCGAGAGAGAGAGAGAGAGAGAGAGAGAGAGAGAGAGAGAGAGAAGAGGGCAAAGAGAGCCCAGGGGGGGTTTTGATTCGTTCCTCAGGAGGAAGCCAGGCGAGAAGAGCAGGAGCTCATCGAGCGCCTGGAGAGGCCCGACCCGTTTCGTCTAGGGCTCCGGCGGCTCCGGCCCTTCCAGTGCCAGGAATCGAAAGCGCGCGCCGGCCCGACACGATTCAAGCCGATCAGCATCTCGGCCACTGCGTCTTCCAGCCGCGACAGGGAGCGAGCTGAGCGTGAAGCTGCGAGACATCTCAAGGTTTGGACCTATAGAGCTCCAGTTTGTTCTAATGTCGAAAGTGCATGTGTGCCGGGCTCTGAGCTCTGCGGTGCCGGGGGGAGGGGTCTATGTCGTAACCTGATCTTTGCATGCGGTCTTTGTTCTTGCGTCCGTCGTCCTCAGGCAGGCAACCGGAAGATGTGACATGCTTGATTTCTAGACTGGAGAGACGTGGGTTCTCATCTCTCGGCCTAATTATTGGGCTTGTTGCAATCCCAAGATGTCCCGAATGGTCCACCGCAGGTGCCCAAGATTTCCTCATCAACGAAAACTCTGGTGGGTCATCAGGGCGCTACAGACAGACAGCACTTCCCTTGTCGAAACCTGGGGCGTGCTGCTGCATGTCCACGACGCTCTTCCCTGTTCAACAGAATTCATGTCTGCACACCCACTAGTCTGCGAAAGTATGTGCTAGTAACGCTCAGATGCTCGGATGGGCTGGCCTCACGAAAGGAGTCACGAGATGCTTCATCCGGGCCGAAGCCAAAGGAGGCAGACTTTTTTCTAAACGAAAAATGCTGTCCACGACCGCACCTGTGCCAGGGTCGAGACATCTCTGCACCCACACTTCCTCCTGTGGCTCCCAGCGGCTCTAGGCCTAGGAAGTGACAAAAACTTCCGAAGCTGTCCACAGCGTGGGTCGAGTGCACGGACCAGATCTGTCCGCAAAGCGGAGTTCGTACTGGCGGGAGCCCTCAAGGCCGTGTGCGTTTGCTGCCCCGGCATGCGAGGGCTGTATGCTTTGCTTTAGATGGTGAGCTGCAGGCCTTGGACCATGAGCGGAGTGGCCGCCTTTCTCGGGCGTTGCTGCCACGTGTTACTCAAGAGTGACCTTGCCAGAAGTTAACCACTTCTCCAGGCTTCTGCGGCCGGCTGATATCCCATGAATCTTAGGTTAATGCCACGCCGTGAGACCTCACGCTCTGTACATATCGGGCTCAAAACGGGCCAAGACTTTCCTGTATTGTCTGCACCTGTTCTCGAAACTCGACCGACGGCTAAACGATGTGTGACAGCAGCATGTGCTCACGTGCCGAAGTGGGCTGCCGCATTTGTGGTTCATTTTCTGCGAAAAGAAAGACGTGGCACTTCAAACATGTGCACAGACCTGTCATCACGGGCAATGTACTACACCTTGTTGGCGGGGAGATGCGACATGAAAAGTTGATCTCTAGCCTTCGATCTACATCCGTCTGTGTCGCTAGTCTCCAGTGACGTTGACCCCAGCAGGCTTCACAGTCATGGTGCGACATGGTGCGACATAGCTTGGCGTAGCTTGGCAAATGCATTGCACAGCGTGCCCGGCGCATGTCGCACTGTGATGCGGCCGATGCGGCTCCTTGCACCGCTCCTTGAAGTGTGGCTGCTTCAAGTGCAGCGCCTTCATGGCGAGAGGGCCGAGACAACAGACGCGCCCGGTGGTCTCGTAATCTGCAGGGATTTGCGAGAGCCGCGGCGGATCCGGGAAAGCGGGCGCGCGACGGCGCCGGCCACCGACATCCGGGAGCTCTTGTGGCCCATGCCACGCGCAGTTGCCCTACAACAGCAGGGACGCAGCGTGGCAGATTCGGAGCTCAGCGGCCTCCAGCCACTTCGTGTCGACCCGTGCACGATGGCATTCAACTTGACAGGATAGGATTTGTCTTGCGCTGTATCTCGCAATGCGCTCATGTCAATGACCTCTTGTTGCTCCAGGAGTTCGTGAAGAAAGAGCGGCTGCGCTGTGGTCCTTAGGGCACTTTTGCTGGCGGCTGTGCACGGCTGCAGAAGACACAGCAACTGTCGCAGAAGCGCGGTCCAAGTACAGAAGTTCTAGGCAAGAAACGTCAAGAGACTGGTTGGTAGGAGGGCATGCTGAGTTTAGAATTTCAACACGTGCTGAGTTGTGGGGCATACTCTTGTATTCAGCGCTTCGCAGGGCGCGGTCACGTGGTAGCCTAGTGCTTCGTTCATGGTGCCAGCAGAGCAGAAGGCAGACCTCCGAAGACATCTCGCGCACTCTTAACGAGAGGAGCGACACGCTGGCCCCAGCCAAGGATTCCGAAGCCTGCAGGCTGAACGGCTCTGCTGTCACAGTCGATGTCGAAATCAAGAGCTCTCAAGGCAAGCCTGAAGCAAAGCTCGGGCTTGGACTCAAGTTCATAGACCCCGATCCGTCCCTGAGGAAGCTCCGGTTCGGGCTTGGATGTGCACATGGAGGAGAAGTACCAGCTCCTCTTTGCTGGCGTTGCCAAGCTGTCCGCTGCATCCATCCACGGCTTTCGACGTGGCCTCGAGACTTTGTTGCAGGTGGTGGAGGCCCTCTCTGGCGAGAGTCGCTCTTGGACTTGGGCTCCGGGCTTCTCGAATAGCGTCCCAGTCGATCTCTGGATCGAAGACATCCCAAGATTTCCTTGGAGGGGCCTGCTCTTGGACACTGCTCGCCACTTCGCTCCAATCCAGGCGATCCAAACGAGCTTTGGGATTTCACGTGTAGTCAATGCACGAACCCCAACCCTGTCGTGCATCAGGTGATGGAATCTTTGCTTTTCAGCATGGCAGCTCCCTCACAGCATGAGAAGAGATGGATCGCACTTGCCTCACTCGCCCGAGGCAGCGAGTAAGCTCAATGTGCTCCACTGGCATGTGACAGATGCTCTGGGCTCACTTGTCACGCAAATCCCACCTTTGCACAGTCGTCTAAAGTGGTCAGTTCCGGAGCCTGTTTGTTTAAGGCCATGAGCTTCCCCCTGCAGCTCGAGTCCTTGCCACAGCTTGCGCAGCTGGGTTCCTTTTCAGCAAGCAAGACCTACACACATGCCACTGCCTCAGAATGCCTCACTCAGTGTGAGCAAAAACCAGCAGGCTGTGCTTGTAGCGAATTGTGCTACTACCAAGAGACAGTGGGAATGAGGCGGATGTGAGGCACATTGTTGCCTTGGCCGCGAACCTCTCCATTCGAATCGTCCCAGAGCCGGATCCCCAAAGCCATCAAAACTCGCCGCGTTTTTGCTGAGCTCCGAGGCTGGATATGCCCGCTCACACTGCCAGCTGGATCTTCGGCGAGCCGGAGACACTTTGAACTTGAACTTTGGGCCCGGCTTCTAACCTCTAACCCCCCGCCCCCTGCGTTCGTTGGCGGCTTCCAGTTTAAAGGCAGCTCGCATGACAGATAGGCCAAGCAAGGGCGGCTGAAAGTGCGCAGAGCCGCAACCCACATGGGCAAAGACAGGAAGACGGAAGTCGTCTCCAGAGGGAAGTGTCGTATGAAGCGGCCGGCATCGGCCGTTGCATAAAGCGATTTGAGCTGTGTGGGAGACGACCAAAGTCAAAGAAACTCTGGGAGGCCATGCGCGAGGCCTGTTGCTACAGCGAAACAAGGGCAGGGCAAGCGCCAGCGAATGTTGATGCTTTACACGACGTCGGCCACTTCTCGTTGTGGCAATCGGACGACATTACGACATGTCATGTCGGCAAGCAAACTCTCCCACCGGCTCTCGCCGGCCACTGATCTCTGAGTCCTGCAAGTTCCACTATAGCGCAGGGCTTGCGGAATGAAGAATGCCTAATTACGTGGACTAAGTGTACGAAGTTTTGAACTAAGAGGAGGGTGGACAGACCCCGCCAGCCACTTTTTCAATCGGAGACCCACTCCACCCCTCCTCCACCCCTCCACCTTTCCATCCCATGCCTCCACCCTTCCACCCTTCCATCGACGTTCACCTGCAGTCAGAGGTTTTGCGGACAGAGGGTTCGTGCTGGCACTCTCGTCAAGGGAGTTGTGGTTTTGGGGTTTGGGGCTGCAGGGTTTAGGGCTTCGTTTTGCCTATTCGCTGCTGTAGTCTCAAAGCAGTTAACAAGAAATCCCGCACCCGGACTGCCGGGGGCACGGCTGGCCGACGAAGCTAATAGTTGGCACATCTGGGTCTCCCTGCTCCAAGCCGTGGGATTTGGGTTAGGGTACAGCCCCAAACCCCAAAACCGTAGGCTGTAACTCTTGGGGGTGGAAGGGGAAGGGTGGAGAGGGTGTGGGTGGATGGGTGGAGGGGTGGAGGGTGGCGGGAGTAGTTGTCCGCTTGTTCAAAATGGGGTTGGCGGTCCGGCCTGAAGCCAACGGAGGTAGTATAAACCATGTGCTATCCGCCCGTTGATAAAACCTCACTATACAGTCGTGTTCGTAAACGAATCTGGCAGGAGACAGTTTCGAACTGCACGCACGCAGGCATCTCAGATTTCCAGAGTGCTCGCAGACCGTCTTCTTGAAAAGTCCAGCTAACTTGAGGTCCTACCGCAGGACCCAAACGATGCCAAGAATCGTTTCAAAGCCAGGGACAAGCTGGCATTGGACATCTCATCAAAGCGGACCAAGAAGGCATAGCTGAGCTGATATCCTTTTGTCGTAGCTCCCGCCTAGTCTCACGACTTGTGCGAGGTTGTGTCTGCAATTCTCAAAGAAATGGCTGGCCTGTTCCCGGACGAGTTCTTTCACGTGGGAGGAGACGAGGCGACGGCGACGGCGTGAACGCCTGGTAAGTTGCGTGTACAGTGTACGGTTCTGATCGGAGGTGGATTTTCGATGTTGGACAACCATGCCGCACATCGCGGCCTGGATGCGGAAGAAAGGCAGCTCGCAAGCGTTCACAGCCTCCACTGCAGGCCTGAAAAAGCCCCGTGGCCTTAGCCAGGATTGGGGGCCTCCCAGGCTCTGCAGAACTTCTTCGAGCACGTCTTCCAAGAGGCAGCTCAGGAGTGCAAGTGGAACCGAACTCTGTCTCAAAGAACGAACATTGCTGTAACACTCCCACTCAAGTGTATACTGCAGCCTTCTGGCAAAGGAATCAGCTCGATGCATAGTTTTGTGCACCAAATGGCGATGGCAGCAATGATACGAATCGTGGTGACGGCTACATATCCAAAGTCAACGAGAAGAGTCAGAGCTCGCCCTGGGGCCGTTCCGAGAGGATGCCCAAGCGGCATGTCCGGCAAGACTGGGATCCGGCCTCCCGTGCCAGGTAAAGCGCTTGGGCAAGCGTCCAATCGTCTGGCAAGATGCCTTCGACCAGGCCTGGTTACGCTGACGCGGTGCTAAGCGAGATGTACCTTTGGCAGGGTCTCCGGCTGCCCAAGGAGGCGTGGATCGTCGGTCCCGTCCGGTGGAGACAGGCTTTGTGAGTGCAGGCAGTGGTGCAGCCGTGGAAGCCGCTCGGCCGCACGCGCTGCCACGCTGCCGCGTTGCCGCACGCTTCGGCTGCTTCGCTTCGCGAGGTGCTGGGGCAGCGTGGGCCCAGGAATGCCCTTGTGGCCCCAGGCTCTCGGCCACGGCATCAACCAGAGCCCGCGCGGCGTCCCTGTCGCAGGCGGAGCCGGAAGCGCAGATCGGCCACGCCTCGGCCTTCGCCGCCACTTCCATGGGCTTCTCGACTGTGCAGAGCAGTTGCTGGTACCTGGACTGGAACTCCCAGTACCTCAGCCGCAGAAGCAAGGCAGAAGATGGGTGTTGTGGGCTGCAACAAGGCTTGCTGAAGATCAGGTGGACGGACTTCTACAATCACACGGCCGATGAAGGTCCCCTGGCGTCCAGGCCCAGCGACCGGTCCAAGCCTCAACCGCCTATGCTCCAAGCCCTCTTTCGCTGCCCAACAACGTTCCCAGGCTGCTTGGAGGCCGTCGGCGCAGCCCGTCATGGCCTTGGCAGGGTCCGGGTCGAGTGCTCGAGAGGCGAGACGGCACTCTGGAGCGAGCTGATTGACTTCACCAACCTGAACTGCCGCGCGTGGCCTCGGGCCGCTGCGGTGGCCGATGCTTGGGCTTCCAAGTCGCTTAAAGCTGCTTGGGTCTGCTTGCGATTCTGTGCTTCTGGAAGGAACGCCTCTGGTCCGAGATGCCAGGCTCCTTCAGCAGCGACGAGGCCGAGGATGGAAGGCTCCACTGGCTTCGGGCTTCGCATGGCTTCGTTTCGAGGTGGAGCGGCGCTTGGCAAGACACAGCAGCCGGCTTCATCGACAGGGGGTGGCATTAAGGCCAGACATCTTGCCTATTCTTGCCTGCTGCTCGGCCCCTGAGTTTGCTGGGACAGGCCGCTCACAACGTCCCACGAGGATTGGTTTGAGGCAGACTTTGCCTTGACCCACAAACGCAGGAATACGGAATGACGTCTGTGTGTGTCGGAGAGGTGCCCGAGAGCCTGCAAGATGTGGAAACTACATGCCCTCTCCTGGTCAGTCAGGCCTTGTGTGGTTTTGAAAGTGAACGGCTTGGTTTGCATCATTGCTTTTTCAGCCTGCACTTGTCGAAACACTCCAAGAATTCCTTTCGGAACGCTCGCCAGGGTGTCGCAACTGTGAAAGAGAACGCTTTGTTGTATTGCCGCAGCCATGTTTGCTTGCAGCCAGCACACATGTCACAAATACTTTCCTTGGGACGTTCCGACCATCCCTTTAGTAATCGACACGATCATCTAGGAACAGGGCTGGGCACAAACATGCCCTGACGGGCCCATAGCAACACGCTCACACTCAAAGAACCGCATCGACGTCTCAAGCTCATTCACTGACAGACCATAAAGAACACTGAAAAGGTCGATAGGCACAACCTTCATGCCAGACCTTTCGACTACTTCACTCGCTGGCAATGAGACTACTCGACTCAGTCAACTCAGTCAAGTGAGATGGCATACGGTTGAGTTGCAGGATAACTGTCAGTCGCGAGATCTGTCTTGGTTTTTCTTCTCACGTGGACAGCAGACAGATCAGAAACAATGTTCTGTAACAGCTCATGGACCCTTTGTTGGTGCTGAAACAACTGTACATCGGTCAGCTGTTGTTGGTTCTCTCGTAGTTGAACTTGTGCCACATCCAAATGGCCTTGTTGAATCTGCCGAGCTGCAACTTCTTCATCCCTCAGTCTGGTGATCTCCACGCATCCAAAGCACCTCCACTTGTGTATATTGGATCCACCTTTGAAGTGGTGCCAAGGGATACATTGCCGAATTGATCATGTTAAATTAGCTTGTTCTCCTTAGTGCTTGACTGAAGAGTGGACAAGCAATTATACGAGCACAGCATGTCCAGACACTCGCACTGCAACGTGCAGTCGGTCATCAACCAAGTGGCCGAAGCCTCAATCACACTGTATACTTTCACTGCAGAAGTAGAAGACTCGCGATCCGGTGCAGTACGGGCGGCATGAACAAGCTGAACGTACCGCAGTCACTGGGTCCCAAAACCGTACATGCTTTGTACCCTCCACAATTAAAACGACGAAATGTTCGGGCATGTTCCTATCAGCTCATGCCCCTTTTGTCACAATGCAGCAGCTGCCTCCAGGCACCCAAGCAGCGCTTGAAGAGGCCACGCATTCAAGTCGCAGAGCCCAGGGGTGGCCCCTTGATAGGCCGAGCACAGAGCAGCGCCGCTTCTGGTTTTGTCCAGAACGGCGAAGTTGCCGCCATCGGTGCTTTCATGGCTTAGCACTGGTCCTTACTTTGGGGCTCCTGGAGGATTCGCGGGCCAAGCCTCCTCTGTGGCTATGTCCACCTCCGCCAGCGTGGGCACCTCCAGAAGCCCAGCTTCGGAAAGCACTTCAATGAGATGAGCAGTCAAGCTCAAGACTCAAGAGGTCACTGCAATATCAGATTTTCTCAGGCAGCGCTCATGTACCGGTTTCGTCCCTCGTGGACTTGTTAGCAGCTAGCAGCAGAAACAAGGACAAGCTCCTTGTGGAAGCTCGAGCCTGTTTGTAAGATTTTGTAAGTAAAAACACTGGCCCGCCCTCCCACCCAACGCCAGTGATGGAAAGATCAAAGCTACCGTAGATGGCATTCGATGCCAAAAAATGGCACGAAAATGCGTTCGAAACATATGGTTGAATCTTGAAAGCAATACCAGCTGTAATGTCGTACTTGAACACGTGCTTGAGAATGGGTGCATGCTTGCGGAAACGTCGTTGAAGAGAACGGATGGGAACTGAACGACTGTATCGCAGCAATGCAAAGACACTCTGTTTGGGATTAGGATGTAGCTGTCTGAGAATTGAACCAAACTTCATCTAGGTGAGCTGCTTGTGAAACAAGCTCAAGATTTCACGACGAGGATGACCACGGCGAGCCATACTGTCAACGAAGATTTGGGGATGGTGATGCAAGCCACGCGTATGCTTGTTGACGTACTGATTCGCCTCTTGCAAGGCCACGTAGAATATGCATGGGATGACAACTGTGGCGGTGTGTGTACAGATATTTGTTCAAGGGCTTCCTGAAAGTTTGCCAAGTCAGCTTACCAGCATCATGAGACAAAGCAAAGGAACGCGACAGGATGCTCATAGAAAGATGTGCGGCCACCGTTTGAAGCAACTTCCCAACTGAGTTCTGGGTACTTCTGATGGCATCGATATCAGCTGCACAAACAACGGAGTCATCCACAAGCCCGACGCGCAATGCAACGGTGTTTGCATGAGTTTGCATGACCAGGATATCCACTTCGTTGAGGTAGATGTTGGCTAAGAATATGCCTGGGGGCAACCCAGTGTCTATGCCGAAAGCTTGAATGAACTCACCTCGATGTTGTGCGAATTGGTTTCGAAGGATCACGTTCAGCAGCTGTACAACGAAATCAGCAGCGCCAATATGACCGTAGTGCCGATAAACTGCTATGATCACTACCAGAATTAGGTGCTCGTTGACTGTAATTTGGTGGCGCAGACTTGGGAAGGTGGTTAGACAGGAAATCCTTACTGCTGTGAACCGTGTGCCTCAGCTCATCTTGAATAGGCTGTAACATGCTGCAAAGAAACAGGCAAGCCGGAACCACCCAACACCATGACGTGTTGGCGATGGGACGTCCGACGATCGGATTCTTGTGGAGTTTGACTCTGAGCCTGAAGCTTCCTTCTCTATGTGCTTGAAAATATCTTGTCTGAGGAATGAAACTTCGCGTGATTTGATGATGCGGACGTCTTGTGCATGTTGCACAACGCTGTCCAAGGCACAACATGCAAGGAAGGACCGATGGCGGTATTCTGCTTCTGGTCCCCTCATCCAAAAGGCGTTTGAGCTCGGAAGAAATCCAGCTTGCAGGCATCAGAACATCACCCAGACTTTGATCCGCATCAATATCCACAGCTTGATTTTTGTGTTTCTTTAGCCATTGAACAGCTTGGTTGTCCAACCAACTCGTATCGCGCATGCGCGGGTATGCAGTGAAGCTGTCGATGATGTTTTTCTGAGGAGACGTCCATACCTTTCAATATCACCGTGTTTCGGAGTTTTCCACGAGGATCTCACCGCAAGCAGGCCTCTGAACTCGACATTCTCGAAGAATTTCGTTACAGGCAAACGCTCTCTAATTTGGTGACGCTGTCAATGACTGCGGATAGGGAACACTCGCGCATTTCTACCACGAACTTGCCACCCTTGTTCAAGTAGAGTAAGACGTAGCCGGGAACATGAAGAGAAGAAGGCATTCGAGAATGAACTCACCAGCGATCTGTGAGGACAAACTGTGCAATGATGTCCTGTATGACCTGCTGATGCAACACTTGTAAACGTCAATCGTCTGCAAATCTGAATTCCAGTCCCCTCTATGTTTCCATCTACTGTGGAATTTAATTTGATGGTTGGGGGGCTCAAACCCTCAAGAGGCTTGCTTTCAGGAAACACGTTTGCGAATTGCTGCACGTCCTTTGCGTTTCTTTTTCCTTTTCCAACACATCCAACATTCCTGCTCTCACCTTTGCCTTTGCTTGGGCGTCGGCTGGGGGAACGTGGAGATTTTCAATGAAACCTTCCACGTAGAGATGTCTGCGACTTCAGTCGTCGGGCACTTCGTGAAGGATAGACGCTTCGGAGTGGAGAGAACCGAAACAGAAGTTCCAAAGATCGTCTATCGAATGTTTCCCACGCAATGCCGCCCATGAATGGTTGATGTCATTCGCTGCGTCGTCGCCGTTTGGAATATCCTCTAACGGAGCGATGGGCTCAGCAATGGCGTCGTATGGTTTAGGCCACGGCAATTTGCGATAACTGTTTCATGATCTCGCCACTCTCGCGTATCTTCTCATATTTGTCGCGAAGCTTGCGTTGCGTTGCGACCTGGTTCAGATCTTGCAGAAGTCGGACTTCCATTTGGACATGGTAGTTCTCAATGTGGGGTCCAACAAAGAAAGAATCACCAATCGTTCGCCATGCCAAATGTTGCCGGAGCAACAATGATTAACAATGTTTGTTCCTGTAGCAAAGCTACTTGCCGAGCCATGAGGTCCATCATGGATTGCTCTTCGGGTGCTTGTTGTCGTCGTGCTGCCCGCAGCCGTAAAAATGACTGTCACACCTACATCGTGCTCTTTACGGGATTTCACAAGCTCGCCGGCGGTAGGCATCGCTCGTGTACCGGTTTCGTCCCTCGTGGACATGTTCAACTAGCTACCTGAGGCCTAAACTGCAGCAGAAGCAAAGACAAATTCGTTGTGGAAGTTCGAGTCTGCTTTTGATTAAAAACAGTTTTTGATTAAAAACAGACTCGAGCTTTCACAAGGTGGACAATGGCGGACAGAAACCTGGGTTCCCCTGCAACAACGGCAGTGCTTATTCTCGCGATACTTTGCGACATGCTGGGTCATCGGCACAATCACGGACTTGCCGCTTAACATCTCCAACAGTCCGGAGCCTGTACTTCACATTGCAGCAGAGGCTGCATCCCGGAAAAGGCATGCGGAGACGATGTCTGAACGCGGTATGTCAAGATCCTCTTCGCAACATCGATGTGTCTGTGCAGAGCTGCAGCTATCAGGAATCAGCACATCAAGTCTTGTCAGATGCGGGGTCCATCCTGATCAGCACGCATCCATCACGATCTATAGACCTGTCCCGACAGCTTGCCGCGATTGGTCATGTCTGCCAACTGGTGGTGCTAGCCACCGCAATGCGTATGAAACTCGCAACACCGAGCGCAAAACCTTATCGCGTTCCGGCACTGTACGCATTCCAGCACGACAGGTACGGGTTTATGCAAAGTGTTCAGTCCCAAGTTGACACATGTCTGTCACTTGCTAAAAGAATCTGATCCAGAATCGGTTGTTGTTGGCACGTGCCAGCGCGAGAAGAATAAGCTCATGTCCGTTTCAGTCTGTCCAGGACTCTCGAAGTGCAAATCCGTCTATGCGTCCATGCATCCGCGTCTGCATTTGCATCCATCCCATCCAATCCCATCCTTGAGGCAATCCAAAGAAATGCCAAGGATTGGCGCGATGCCCATGCCTCAGCTGACGCAAGCAGCTGCGTCCGTGACTCCGCGCGTGCAGCGATTCTGTAACCGAGGTCATAGAAAGAGGGTTCGACGTGCCACAAGAGTTTCGGCAATGAAAAGAAGCGGGCTAGCGGCTCCATAGCCATAGCCATTGGCAAAATTGCACTGACGTGGACCCAAAGGAAGGCATGGTTGTGCTCTTTTCGCCATCGGCTCTGAAGTCCTTCGAAGTGGCTGGGTTTTCTAGGGGGGGGGGGGGGGGGGGGNNGGCCGGGCCGGCCTCTCATGGGCCGGCTACGGTTGGAAAGCCAGCGGCTCAAAAATTCCTCCTATATTGTGTTCTCCTTTGATTCGGTTCTTTGAATGAGGTCAATGTGATACGAACGCGACAAGTGCTGCCAGTGGGCTGTGTTTGGATCAAGCTGGACTTGCGGCGAAGTTTCCTGGCGACGTGTCCATGCTCTTGAACCCTGGGAGGCCGTTTTTGTTTGCCTCATTCTCAGGCTGGAGTCCTGGCGCCATGATCCTGACCTTTGTCTGATATGGGCAGCCTTCTGTACAACCTCACCCCTCACGCTGGCCGATGGCATCTCCTTGGCCAAAACACGAAGGCCCGGCCACGTCACACTCGGACAATTCTGAACTTGCCTACTTGCCTGGCCTTCTGTTCCAGGTCAGCGACGGAGGCTTTGAAGCTGCTGGCTGGCGCGGAGACCGGCAAGGACCAGAACGGGCGCCCTCTGCCTGAGGCGAACCAACTAACCAGCTTCCTGTGCTGAGGTGTCGTGTTAGTGATTTCTGCAGCGCAGGCCTGTGCAGCGGAAGAGACTGAGCATGCAGACGCTCAGTCTCAGCTTCCGACGCTCGAAGCCGCAGTCTTACTGGAAGCAGTGACGTTCCTGTGCAGCAGTATCCTCACAAGGTCTCTTACTTTGAGGAAACTGCGTTCCTCTTTGATTATTGGAGCCACGCTGATAATGCCGTCTCCTCTGCATATTGATCGAGACAATATCGGGCTGTTTGCAGCGGTGTGCGAGGTTTCATTGAAGCCCTGGCAATCCAGTGGGTTTAGCTTGATTGCGCGTGCAGAGCTGAGCGGAAGTGCATGGTATGCCGTTCATTTCAGCATTGTGTCGAGAGCTCGTGAGCCAAAGACAGCTTGGAGAAGGTGAAGGAGAACGAAGGTGCCCTTCACAAGCCCAAGCCCCCCTTGAAGCGTTGACTCGCAGGGTGTTGCAGACCATCGTCAAAGATCGAACCTCGTGGGTTTGAAAGGGTTCAGGGAGTGAAGCAGTGAAGCAATGTTGGTTCCAGCCCGTATCACGCCAAGACGAGCCTCGCAGTGCTGCACTGAAAGGTTTGGCGAAATCAGTCCACAGTGAGGCGGGGGTGCGGAAGCGTGGTCGTATACAAAAGTTCAACAGGGCCAGCTGGAAGGTCCATTTCTCGCAGAGCAGCACTGGAACCACCGGTGTTGCAAAGGCCGGCGTGTCCAAGCTTGCTAGTTTAAGCAGCAACGTCCATGGCCAAGCACCGCTCGGCGCCAGCGAAATGATAGCCTTAGCAGTGCTATGCATTGCTGGACGGGACTCAGGGCTCCTTTAGCTGGTTCAGAGCCGCGAAGAGACGACGTGAAATTGTGCGGCACTGACCGCTGCAGCTCTCCCATCCTGAAGCCCAGACATGCAGGACGAGTGGCTCTGCGGCAAGGGATCTGAACTTGCATTGTTCCCTGCGTGGCCAACGCTGTACAGTACAGTCTGGTGCGACAGGCTGATTTATCGATTCAAGCCAAAGCGTCCTTACAACATCTTGTCGTTCGTTTTGCGTTTTTTGGGTGATACGGTGATACTTTACAGCTTCGGAGTTTAAAGAGTAGGGCTTGTTCTGTCAGGCTGCCTGTTGGGGTCTTCATGTCGAGAGAGGTCACAAATCAAATGTAGATTGACGATGTCGTCAGTGGCGACAGAGTGGAGATGATTTAGGGTTGTGCTGTAGATTGTACCTAGTTGCTTTGGCTGAGAACTGCTTGCTGGCAGGTGGTGTCGAAGAACATCGCAAACAAGAAGAAGGCATACTCTTTGTGATCGACGGGCGCCTGTATGGCTGAGCTTGCAGGTCGACAGCGAGGAGTCTGTGTGGTTGGATGCCCGAACAGTTCCACGTACGACTGCGAGCCAAGACCAAGTAGTGAGGTTGAATAACGAGAACATTGACATTCCATCTTTTGAAGACATTCGGAGCGAAATCGCCGTCGTCGGCTCGGGGGAGTAACCGTGGATTGCCTGCGAGAGCACGTTCAGCCGTTACAGGTCCTGACATTCCTGAGCACTTGTGCACACTGCCCATACATCATCAGCATCCTGGGATCCTTCGAGGATGTTTGCCAGCCTTCATTCTCCTGAAGTAGTGGCCTCCTGTTGCAGGATGATCTTAGCATCTACCTGGTCACCGGCTACTGCGAGGAAGGTCCAAGCTGCGACAATGCAGGGCGAAAAGGGCGACGACATGCTGCCAGTGACAGGTGATCTCTTCGAGCGAGTGGCTTACGGAGATCCTTTGGCCGAAACAGAAAAAAAGCGCTACATCAGCGAACTCCTACAAGGGGCTTTGGCCTCAGATGGAATTTATGAACGGGAGTTCAGCGAACCCTGATGTCGATGCCGCAGGTGCGTCACCTTCATCAGCACAACGTTGGCCGGTCGATCTGTCAGTGAGTGTCGTTTCTCAGTCCAGCCTGCCAGGTCACCGCGACATCTCTCTGGAGAATGCGGGGCTCCCAGGGTCAGTAGGTCGGCATGGAGACTTGGGCTTGCTGATGCTCGCTGCAGGTCCTGCTCAGAAAAGGAAGTTGTGTGCTGAGCGACTTTGGGCAGGCCGCAGACGGCACAGAGACTGCTGGAGGTGCTCTGTAATGATTGGTCTCTCGAGGCAGTGCAACTAGCAGCACAAGACGGAACCGTGCTTCGGTGCTCTGCGAGCGCGTGGCAGCTCTCCCTTCCTTCGCCATCACTTTGCATGAGGTACTTCGTGGAAGCTGGAAAAAGCATGTACCGCTCGCCCGAGATGCATGTGCCGCGAGCGAGCCATGTGCAGGCTGGGGCAGGATGGGGCAGGTGCTTTCAGTGCATTCACGGGAGTGTAGGTTTTGTCGGCGGCAGGTGGTGTGTCCGGCAGATGGCAGACCTGGATTGCGGGCGGTGGTGCACGCGGCAAGATTCATCTGCACAGCCCCACTTGAGGGCAGACGCAGCCGTGTGAACGCTGAATGCACGAAGGTGTCACACGAGACTACAAGATGCGAAGTTCTGTTGCCGTTTGATGCAGTGCCTGGGCAGCCAGAAACTCAGAAATCAACACATCCAAGTCTTGTGGGAATGGTGCACCGATGCGCGCTGCAGGCCTTGCACGGCAACTCCATGCGGACCGAGCCTTACAGGATGATGGGGCTATGTCATGAGGTAGACCTACAGGATTGCTATAGTGACGATTAAAGAGGGGGGCAGGTGGGTTCAAGCATGTTGACTGTCTCAAAACACTCGCGGCGCCACTGTGAGCGACAGACTACGGGAAGTGAGGCCCTGGAAACCCAAAGGGCAAGGTTGCTTTCAGAAAGCCGTACGAGTGCGATTTTGATGCTCGCGGCAAGCACATGGAATCCCTGAATGAATCTGTCGGGGGATTCCGCATCAGACAACAGCAGGACATGGTGAGAAGGTGGGAGGTTCGGTCAATCTTGCGATACTATCGGTTCGGTAAGTGATGCATTGCAGGTTGTGATATATGTCTCGTTCAAGCAGCCCGGTTCGTACTTTACGCGAAGACCTGGAGAAAAAAATGAGGGAATGGGATCGTCACAGTGTGAAGTAGAGAAGCCTTATCCCAAAACCCCCCCAAATGCAGACAACGAGCGAGGCCAACATGGATGCTAGATGATTGAAGAATTGTCGGTTGAAAGCCTGCATCAATGCAGAAGTCGGAGCTTAGACTGCAAATGCATCTGCTGACTTTCATTCATGCTAGCGTGCCATACCGTACTGCTGACAACCGTTTTGTCGTGGTTGAAGCCCCGACGCGCGCCCTGGTCTAGTTGTGCCTGAGCAGGAGAGCAGCCAGAGACCATGTGTGTTTTTCACTTTGGCCTCAGTCCGCTGATTCTTCAGACGATTCCGCATGTGCACTTCGAATCCCCATGGCCAGACAAATCCTGTTTCTTACAAAATCCTGCGATCGTTCTGCCATGCCCGATGAAATGCTTTGGCGAGGCTACGCTGTGGCGCCTGCAGACCTCTTTGCTTGCGGAGTCTGTGCCTTCGTAGTGGCTATTGGCAAGGCATCATCCTTGTGAGTTGTCATGCTGTTCATCGAGAGAGAGAGAGCGCGAGGCACAGAAGCAGAGAGAGAGAGAGAGAGCATCCAGAACCCTGCCGAAAGAAAGAGAGAGAGAGAGAGAGAACTGGCGAAAGAAAGAGAGAGAGAACGAGCCGTAGCCATTTTGGCTCAAGTGCTGCACCCTTGCTTGGGGGCCTGTACCGCCTCCTTGCATCGGGGAGGGAGGCAGAGAGTTGACCTGGGGGCTGTAACCCCCCAGGGGAGCTCTTCTGTCTTTCTCCAGCGGTGCTTGAGCTAAACCGCCCGACGCGTTTCTGCTTAAGTGGCCCAAAAGCGCCTTCGCTAGAACCCTTCGCAATACTCACAGAGGGCAAGTGTGCAGCACTACAGCTTTGAGGGGGACCAAGTTACTGCAGGATCCTCTACCTGGCCGCCCTTGAGGGGGAGTACGAACACCTCTTCACCTTGCGCCACTTTGCCTTGTCTGCCGCAGTGACCCGGGGGAACCAGTACGCTGGGTGAAGACCTCCATCACCTACAAGTCCGTGACTTGGGTCACGAAGGACAAGATTGCATAGAACACCTACGTGGACCATGGCAGACGGGGGAGGAAAGGTATGCAAGCTTTGCCGTTATGCTGAGGGGATGTGCCAGGTTGGCTTTCGGAAAAGCCACGAACGCACCGACCCACAATGCAGGCTGCATGGGGTGAGCTCTTAAGTGCCGTCCGACAAGTACAAGCACAAATGGAGAGAAGACGAACAGAGCGAGAACTACATCCTGAAGTGAGCCGAGAATGAGTCGGGGGACATTTTGTCCAGTAGTCTTTAAATCTTCCGGGAGTGTACAGCCCTTGCGTAAACTCGTACGGCACCTTCCTTTTGCAGCATAAGGGGGAAGGGGGGATCTTCGTTTCAGATGCAGTCTTGTCAAGTTGGCCTTTATGCTTGCTTTGGGAAGGGGGACCAAGTACTCAATCCTATACTGTGTCTTCCTTCCGAATGGTAGCCCAATCAACTCCGTGAGCCAATGGTAGCCCAGTCAATTCCATGAGTGCATGTTCGATCCCACTCGTATAATTTGACAAGAGGCCATTGGGGGGCGAACTCTTTAAACGGGCCATACGTCTGGCTCTTCTCAGGCAAACCCTCTCCAACTTGGGCCACATCGCCCTGAATCCTTGTTTCTTTTCAACGCCCCCTAACCGGACTTGTCTTTCTTGAACTGGGGGAGCGGCCTGACCAGCTGGCGCGGCACTTAGCTTGCTGGAGTGCAGTTGTGTGTTGTTTTTGGGGGAAAGCGCTGGTCAACCGCTCCATTTTTGCTTTCCGTGTAAAGCCGAGCCCCCTATGGCAATTTCCCGTAGGGGGACCATTTTGAACCGCAGGGGCGCGCTCGCGCGCGGGGGGTAGAGCTGGACCGCTCTGCTCCTCTTACCTGGTAGAGAGAGCGAGAGAGAGAGAGAGAGAGAGAGAGAGAGAGAGAGAGAGAGAGAACGAGCGGTATTTTGGCGCAAGCCATTTTGGCTCAAGGTGCCTACGACGTCTTCTCCATCGACCGCGATCTCGAAGTCTCAAACGGGGGGAGTGGGGGGAAGGGGCGCTCCTGTGCCGCGCGCCCCTGATCCCTACCCCCTTGTGACGTAAATCTAGAATCGCGTAGGCACCTGGAGACGCACGCAATGCCATGATCGCCGGCGCCACTGGGTGGTCTGTTGCTTTGTAGGATGGTCCCCTACAATGAGCAGAGTTGCAAGTCTGCTCGCAGTTTCGCTCTCAAGTCGCATAACCATTTTGCGGTGCTTACTGGTGCTGCCTATTCTGTTGCTAGGAAGGCCAACTGTCCTGAAGATCGCAGGTGTCCGTGGTGTAGTGCTCCTGTGGGTCATTGGGATCACCTTTGCTGGTCCTGTCCGGGGAACCCGCCCCCCTGCTTGAGGCGCCGTGGTATCCTGGCTGCTAGGTTGGGTTAGGGTGATGCTAATGCGCTCAATCATTTGTGTGCTACGCGATT